TCTTTAGACTCACAAGTAGAGTAACAGCAAATATTTCATAGGCACATAAATGTAAACGGGTAGTCAAAGAAAGCATGGCAAAATATTATAATAATAATAATCTTTACATTTGGCATAGCACCTTTCACATTGGGAGGATGTCCCAAAGCACTTCATAGGATTTACTGTGTGAAGTGGAGTGATTGTGTATTTGTAAGGAATGCAGCAGTCCAATTGCACACAAAATGTTAAAGCAATTAAGAATAACTTGTTCTTTTTAATAAAAAAAATGTTGAATATTCAATAGCAATCCCCATCTTTTAAAGGGTTCAGAAATTCTATCTGGTGTTAAGTCTTAAAGTCGTAACTAATTCCTATACAATTCCTTGTTTTATTCCTTCCCCTTTCTTAAACACAGTGCAACATTTCATGCTCTCCCGTTCTTTGATAATATTCCGGTTTCCAAAGATTTTTTTGAAACAAATTTTATTTGGGGCTTGTTGGCCAAGATACTGGGAGAAACTTTCTCTTTTAGTAGTTCCATGGGATATTTAATGTCCATCTGAACAGGCAGATGGGACATCGGTTTAACATCTCATCCGAAGGACGGCACTTCCGACAATGACACCCCCGCCATCCCCCCAGCTCTGTATTGGGAGTATTAGCTTAGACAGTGTGAGTTCAAATCCCGACATGGGGCTTGTACTCCCAACCTTCTGAAGATTTTAATATCCGATGGAATTTCTGAAGCCTTAAAAAGATGAGAATTTATTTGAAATATTCAACACATTTTGTTTCCAAAGAACAAGTCAGTTTGGGCTGCTTTGATTTAACATTTTGAGACAATCATAACGTTTATAGAATGTGTGTGTGTAAATGGATGTAGTTGGTGGTGTGCCCCAGAGATCTGCGTGTGACCACATTTCATTGGGGAATGATGTCAAGGCTTGATGATGATATTAAATTAGGGGATGGAATAAATTGCGAGGAAGAATGCAGGAAACTGCAAGGGTTCACAGCAGAGTGGCGGGTGGGGGGGTAGGGAGAAGATGATGTTTAATGTTACAAAATGTAAAGTGATAAACTTCGGACTAACTGGGCGGAGAGATCCGGTCCGGTTTGGAATTTCCAGCTAAGTGTAATAACAATGCCAGTGATTGGAAAAAAAAAGGGCATAGGCAGTAATGGATTTAGAAACAAAACACATATTTCTTGATTGGTGGCATAAATTTATGCTACTTTGTTATATCTGTGATTATTTTGTTGGCTAACCCAAAAGATTGATTTGTTGGGAGGGTTTGCTCTTCGATGAGATGTTAAATCAATCAAATAAAGATCACATGGAACTGTGGAAAAGAGAAGCCAATTATCCCTGAGGGGGGTGGGGGGAAAAAAGGTCATTGCTGCTGCTCGCAAATTGAGTACCCATTCGTCTACAAATACACAATCGCTACAATTTAAAGTAAGATCTTGTGAAGCTCTTTGAGACATCTTATTGAAATTATAAGGCATTATATCAAAACACTGATTATTTATCTAGGGATACAGTTATATAGGTTTTTTTTGGTGTGGGGGAGGGTTGGTCAGTCAGGTTTTTGACATTGTTGGAAACTCATTACCGTAGGTCAGAATATCGAAACCAGACTGAGTTCCCGATATATATGCCACCTATATATGTTTCCGGAACATCGCCAGACTATGGCACTACCTCACCCCTCACGCTGCTGAAACTTTGGTCCACTCCTTTATCACCTCAAGGCTGGACTATGGGAACTCTCTCCTCGCCGGCCTTCCCGGCACCTCCCTCCACAAGCTGCAGGTCATTCAGAACTCTGCAACTCGTGTACTGTCCCGCACCAGGCTTCGTGACCACATCACTCCCACCCTCCCTCGCCTCCACTGGCTTCCCATCCCCCAGAGGATCGAATTCAAGATCCTCATCCTCACCTACAAGGCCATTCATGGCCTTGCTCCCTCCTACCTCTCCGATCTACTATTCCCCTACTTACCTGCCCGTACCCTCCATTCCTCTGGCTCCGGTCTGCTCCACATCCCCCGCCCCAACTGCCCTACCATCGGTGGCCGGGCCTTCAGCCTCTCAGCCCCCAGGCTCTGGAATTTCATCCCCCAGTGCCTTCGCCGCCTCCTCCCTTTCCTCCTTCAAGGTCGGTCTCAAGACCTTTCTCTTCAAACGTGCCTTCAGCTCCCCTCTCGACTCTCTACCCCCTCTTCGCTCCCTCCCTTCCCTCCCCTCACCCTGACCATTTCCCCCTGCTCGGGTCCCGACCCAATTGTCCAGCGCCTTGGGACATCCTCCCGACCTGAAAGGCACTCTATAAATGAAATCTTGTTGTTGTATCTTGTTGTACACATGAGAAACCTGTATAGTGCGTCTGGCAAGCTTTCCCCTGCTTATCCAACTTCGATCCACCCTACCCATAAGAACATTGGCTGTCAGGGTTAATCGAAGCTGAGTGAGAAAATTCCTTGCACCTAGTAACTGATGTGCCTCTCTTAAGTCCTGCTGATGAGCCAGGCTGGCTGGTCCATCAACAGCAATGTCCTGGTGGACTGCAGACTTGCCTGGCTCACAAATCAGACTACCGAAAAAACCGCAGCAGAATGACTCAATTTGGATATTGGATTGCAAACGTGTCACCTTGTTATGCACTTCACAGTTATACAAATGAGGCACCAGTTCAACTAGAAAAATGGGATTTAAATGTATTTAACATAAAAGAAAAATGATGTTAAAGTTATATCGGCCATTAGTTAAGCTTCTGTTGGAGTGCTGCAACTTTTAGGTGCTCCAATTACAGAAAACATCAGAGTGGAAATAGTACAGCATCGGTTGACAGGGATGACACAAGGGATGAAGAGTTATGATTATGAGGACAGTCGTAAACATGTCTTTCCACAATCCCAATTTCCTGCTCTTTCTCCATAACAGCAACAGCAACGTGCATTTATGTAGCAGCCCTCAGGCTGGGTAGCGTCCCAGAGTGCTTGACAGTGGTGAAACCAGACGCTGGGGAGAGGGGAGGTGACTTTAAGCATTATCGAAGCATGAACTGTAAGCATTGTGGTCTTGTTCCATAAATGCTCAGGGGTTTTATTTCACAATTTTGAGAGAATAGATGGTGAAAAACTTTGGGGCGGTTTTATTTTTTTTAAAAAATTTCACATATAATATGGAATCATTTAGCGCCAGTGTCTATTCAAACTGTGACCAAAAAATTCAATGTGAATCGAATAAGGATTGTGGAGGAAGAATATAAGAGTGTGGAGAAAGAGCAGGAAATTGAGATTTCGACTGGTTATCTTTAGTGGGTGAGCACAACAGAAACGTGATGCACCAAATGGCCTTCTCTTGTCTTGTAATTCCTCTACATGACATTTGTGATTTGGTTGCTCTAAGTCTGAGTAATACAATCTCTTTGAATTCTCTTCTTCCAAGATTTATTTTTAACAACCTGAAATCAAAGTAATGTAACATGGTCATGATGATAACACTAGCATGTACAAAACATGCAGAAGATTGAACCCAGTGCGTGTACATGTCACCTGAAGTTAGAGTTATTATGTGGTTAATTGAAACCATATTTTTCTTAAGTTTTTCTACCAAAAACTGCCTAATACTGTCACTAGAGTATTGGTCAGATGCATAGATTCTGTGCACTTTCATTTTTAGGAAACCAGGTCACCAACCTTCCGTGAAGAATGTATCCCAAGACATGTAGGAAATCGGGAAACCATTTAGGTTTTATTTTTCTACCTGACAGTTGAACATTATACTGGAGAAATATATTTCATATTGGGATTGTTCTAAAATGAGATCTAATGCACTCATTGATGTGTGGGATGTTAGTTCTGTAGAATGGAGCACTCTCTCCAGCACATTTGTGAGTATCCAGCATTCTCAGATTAGGTATTACTCACACCACTTATTGTAGTCTGTCTAAGCTCTTTTATGTTAGAAGCATTGTTGGCAATGTTTCCAGTAGTTTAGCCATTCAGTGAAGAAAGAAACATGCCCTTAATTTCTCCAAATGGCACTCATGAAGCGACTGCATGCGTGCAACTAAACATATGTGCAGTGGTCCACTTATCGTGTTGAACGCCTATTACATTATGATTTTTAAACAGCAGAAATGCAGCCAGCTGTTTAATATCGTTGAAAAGCTTAAGGATGGTCCATTGGCAAACAGAAGTTTTAAAGCTGTAACTTATGGCTTGGATTAAAGTTGTGAAGTACAATATTAAGTGAATAGTAACAGTTTCAAGCAGAATCTGTATCTGATCCCTTTTTATTTCCTGAACTTTGTCTACCTTGTGTATGATTAGAATCCCTCTCATAAGTATACAGTGTAGCAGTGGTTGAAGGAACTCATCGAGTTCAACGGCTTTTGTTGATTTCTTTGTGCTATTAATTTAAAAAGGAAAATGTTCAGGAAAGTGCAGATCTGTTTCATGTCCAGCAGTTTCCCACTATCGGCAGGCAGACTGTCAGCCATTCTGTCCCTGCTCTATGGAACTCCAACCCAGAATCTCTCTTCCTCGCCATTATCCCCACCCTCCCTCCCACCTTGAAAACCCACCTTAATACCTTTTTTTTTCAACCGCACTTTGGATTATCTTTTATTATCTCCCATTTTTCCCATTCTCCCACTCCCACCAGCTCAGGCTCCCAGTCACCTACATGAAATACTTTGAGACGTTCTCCCTATGTGAAAGGTGCAATATAAATATAAAATTGTTGATGTTCTTTGGAAAAAATTCCCGACAGGGTTTGTTTAATCAAAATGTTGTTCTGTAGGTTTAATTGTTTCCCCTTCACTCTCAGGTTAATAGATATAATCCAGTTACATTTGCAAAATGTATCATAATATTAAAATTTAACAAAGGTAAAAAGAAAGCTGTGGGCATTACTTGTTGGATTTTATTTTCTGCAGCAATTGTATTTGTCGGTTGAAAGGCTGAATGTAAACCGGATGCTTTGTTTTTCTCTGTTCCTTGTATAGGTATCTCCACTTCAATCAAATAGAATCTCTGGTACCAGAATCCTTCAGCCATCTTCCAAAGCTTGAAAGACTGTAAGTGCTTAAATGTCCTCATGCGTTTAATAGGTAACATCTTAGTAAAAAGCTTTAAAGGCATTGCCGGGCCAACTTGAAAATTCCTGCCTCTAAACTGAGCCTAGCTTGTGCTCTTGAGAAATCAAGCAACCCTACATGTTAATATGATTGAATGCTTATTGGAGATATTCTAGCCATAACACTAGAGCATTGTCTCCCATCTAAGGAGATTTCAGTTTCATTCAGTTAACCCATCACTCATGGCATCACTTGGATTACGATCTTTCACCATTATTGAATGAAATCAAGGTCTTTTCTTTGTTCAGCCGGGTGTTGGACACATGCAGAAACTTATCACCATGTTTAAGATATCGAAACGAAGCTGAATCACACCTACACATAGAAATTCCAGAGATATTTGTTGAAATGGAATGTGCCCTCTCTCCCTGGAGGGACTCATCCTGCTTACCTAAATCCAGAGAGTATTAGGTGTAGGTTGGCAAGACCTCAGACAGAGTGTGCTTTGGGGTACTGCTAGAGTCTAACCAACAAAAACCGCATAGCTTGCTATTGAGAGCAACCTATCTGGCAAGTTTTCCCACCGTTTGTCCAGCTAGGACCACCCTACCAGTTAAGACTTTGGCTCATAGAGTTACCAGGAGCTGAGTGGGAAGAGTTCTTGCCCTTCCAAGTCCGACCAGTGAGCAAGCTTGGCTGTGCTCTGGAACACTGCAGAACTGCCTGACTCAGAAATTGGACTGTCAAGACCACTGTAAGAGGGTTGGCTTGATTCTGAAATGCTGTTGCCAAACATGTCACCTTTAAATCGATTCAGCTCCAAGGAAACCCCGCTTACTATTATATTATTGCCTCCTCCTTCCCTGTCTTCAGATTGTGCATGAAGACCTTCCTCTTTGACTGTGCCTACGGTCACCTCCCCCAGCTCGGTGTCATGCTCCGCCACTGTCAAGAGCTCTGCGACCTACCCTGCATGCAGGGTGCTATATAAATGCAAGGTCTTGATGTTATGACTTATACAGAGGATTTAAATCTTGAAAATTAAGCCAGTTAAATTTATATTGATAATTTCAGCAATAAGATATTAAGGCACATGTTGAGCATGGTTTCAGCTAAATCATGTGCAACAATTTGGACACTGTTGTCTCTAACTGTAATCATTTATCGTTCAGTCTAAAAACAGTATCGCGTACATTTAAAGCAAATTTAATAGTGAAAAGTGAACGCTTCTGAATATTATTTTTGTATTGCTCCCCCTCCTATTTGACAGATTCTTGCACAACAACAGACTTTCGCAGATATTGCCAAGAACTTTCAGTCAATTGGAAGCTATGAAAAGACTGTAAGTAAAGGGCATAAGCTTGCTTTAAAGACTCGTGATGGAGAAGTTATCACTATCAATCTTGTTGTGGCATTCATTAGCTAAAGTTCTAGCATGATGGCTTTATTACTGAAGGTGGAACACTCATGTTATTACGTATATTGTATATGATGAATTAGATAATGAGAAATGTTTATACAGTTTAATAGCTGCAAATGGCACCGACAATACAAGGGTACAGTCTTGAAAAATAAAAATAGTTATCATTATCATCAATTCATTTTAGTTTGCCCCTCCCCAGGCAAACATTATAGTTTGTTTTCTAGTTTCCAGTACAATGATGTGGAACAAAATTGTATTGAGATTTGTTTCATCAAAAAAAGAATAAAGCCTAATGATTGAATAATTTAGAGGAAGCTGGACATACACATGGGGGGAAAAGGAATAGAATGGTATGGCCGGGAGTCTGGGTGGAGGCTCACGTGGAGTATAAACACGGAAACGGACCAGTTGGGCTGAATGGCCTGTTTCCATGCTGCACATTCTATGTAACTCTATATCAGCAGAGTGAAAACAAGTGCACGTTAAAAATGGCAATTGATGACTTTACTCTTGACTTTTATTAAAATAGGAGGCTGGATTCGAACAATCTGAACTGTAACTGTGATCTGATGTGGTTAGCTGAGATGCTGCAGCAGTACGCAGAATCTGGCAATACCCAAGCAGCAGCGACCTGCGAATATCCCAGACGCCTCCAGGGAAGATCCGTTGCCACAGTTACTGCCGAGGAATTTAACTGTGGTGAGTTTGAGCTGCTAAGCATTTGCAGCACTGCCCTCCTGAATCAAAAGGCTGGTTCGCCCAACCTGCACTCTCTTCCACACCCCCTGCGGCCTCAAATTGACCTGGTATTTTATGAGGAGAAATTAAATGCCGATCTGTTGCGTTTGGGTCGGGGGTGGGGGAGTGGAAGAAATTACAAAAAAAAGCCACAAAATGTGAATTTTCCTGTGAACTTTGATAGCGATATGACAGTACCTATACTTTGCAATGTGAATTTGTAAGCCTGGCTTATTCATTGCATATGTTACAGTGTGTTATGTGGGCAGACAATCTACAGATGAACACTTCACATTATGTATTGTGTATCAAAAAATCTCAATTTCACAAGCAGTTTAATTTAAGAAAATCAAACTAGGGGTAACTTTGCAATTACAGTTACCTGCCTTTAGTAACTTTTTAATCCTTTTTTTTAGAAAAGTAAAGTTGAAAACTAAATGGTTTTTGAATTCATGTAGAAAAACCAAGAATTACAACAGAGCCACAGGATGCAGACGTAACCTCTGGGAACACCGTATACTTCACCTGCAGAGCTGAGGGAAATCCGAAACCCGAGATTATCTGGCTGCGTAACAAGTAAACCAACATTTACTGTAGCTTTCATAACCTTTTGTTCATGTTGCTAACCTCCTAAGTAGCTCAGTTTGGTTAATGGGAGACTTGGCCGGATTAGATGGTTCCAATCAGCTCTTCTCAGATTGTTAAAGTGAGACCATGTCTAACTGTATTTTTTGGGGAGATGGAAGTTAAGTGGAGTATAAACTGATGGACATGCTTTCCACTTAAAGCCACCAAGTCTAGGGTGTTCCTTAGGGGCACAAATACCTGCGCTGCACAGTTACCTTTCATTTCCTGTACACGGTATAAATTGGGGCCAGATTACACAAGGGATAGAATTCAACATAATTTTCCCTGACTTTCTCCGTCCTGTCATTGGCTGGCGACCTTTCATTCCCAAGTCACTCCAACTTGCAACCTCCCTCCCCTATTTTGATGCAAGTACTTTTTTTGACCACACTTTTGGTCATTCCTCCCTAATCCCTCATCAGCTCCCACCCTCAGTTTCGGTGCATAGCTGTGTCCCACAAACAGCCATGATGTGAATGCCCAATTTTACCTAGAGGATTCCCCAGGATACCCGAGGAAAAAAATTTCTTTCTTTTTTTGAATTGTTCAGTAGGGTCTTTAATATCCATCTGAACAGGCATCTGCCTGTTTTTGGGGGACTTTAGTTTAATGTCTCATCCAATGCAGAGCTCCTCCAGCATCCCACTGGAATGTCAGCCTAGATAATTAGCTCAAAGTCCCAATGTGGGGTTTGAACTCACAATCATTTGATTTATGGCCCAGAGAGCTACTAACTGGGACAGTTTGACAACTGGTTGAATTTCTCATTATACGCCTCTACAGAATGTCGTTTTAATTGATGGAAGAAAACATTGGAATCCCTAAATGCTATTTTTAACATTTATTTTATTTGGAATTCTAAACCTGGGGACAATATTTACAGATGTTTGTGTTCTCTTTACAGTAATGAACTAGATATGAAATACCACCCACGCTTAAACCTGCTGGATGATGGTACTTTAATGATCCAGAATATTCAAGAGACTGACCAAGGTGTTTACCAATGCATGGCCAAAAATGTAGCCGGAGAAGTAAAGACTCCTGAAGTTATTCTTCGGTATTTTGAGATACCAGGTAAACTCTAGTTTCTTTCCAAATCCACATAAATGACACAGGTACCCTTAGAAAAGTAGGAGATAGTAGAAATTCATTCAGCTTACTTTTTCATGTAGGTGTTTGCTTCTCCAAGGAGTTATTCATCCTAATCCTGATCTCCTGATCTTACCCTGTATCATAGAAAAATAGAAATTTACAACACAGAAGAAGACCATTCGACCCATTGTGTCAGCTCCCTCAAGAGCAATCCTTTTAGTCCCACTTACCTGCCCTTTCCCCATACTGCTGTAGCTGACTCTTTAAAGTGTCTGTCTAGTTCCCCTACCAGTCCTGGCAGGGGATTCCATATCCTAACTGTTCTGTGAAAAATTTCTCCTAAGCTATCCCCTCATACCCTTCCTTAACATGTGCTGGGCAATTTATTTTTTTAAATGCCCCAATTCACTCTGCCCTGGGAAATCATTCCATCATTACTGAAAACCCTCTGAGAGAATTTCTTCTGAACCTCTCCTTTTATTCCTCTTGTCACAATATTTAATTCATGCCCTCTTGTCTTTGAATTCCTCAAGTACAAGAAAGAAGAGAGTGTATTTATTCTACAATTCTGTTGAGACATTTCTAAATAAAATACAGCAGGATTAAGTAACATTTGTTCCTTCTCGTGTACCAAGTTCAGTTGTGGACTTAATTTATTAAACCTCCTGGGAGATGGATATGCAATCAAGGCGAAGCTCCACCTTCACAAGAGAGAGGGAGGAATAGAAGGGTATGGGAGGGAGTAGGGAGTGGGTGGAGACGTGTGGAGTACAAACACTGATCTAGACTGTTTGGGCTGAGTGGCCTGTTTCTGTGTTGTACATTCTTTGTAAGGAGTTGTTGAGGGAGTTAGAATTTCTAATGAGATTAATTTTCATACAGTGGAGCCTCATTCCAACATGGTCATAAAATCCCGTCCTGCACTACAGCAAGACTCAGTAGCTTGTTTCACTGTGCATGCATCAAATGAAAATGGCTGACTTCTGGGTATTAGGTCGTCACTGATGTCTCGTCCTGTTTGCTGTCCATGTGCAAAGCAGGAAGTGACTTTAGCAGTAACTTGATGACCCAGAAATTGGCCTTTTTTTAAGCATTGGAAGCTAAAATGATGCAGTCTATTGGGGCTACACTATAATTCTTGATCTTCCCCTCCCTCTCCCAAGGTGAACAAGAAAAGGTCCTGAGACATTAATTTAATGTTATAATTTCTTACACTCTAATTTTGCTGATTGATATTATCAATATAACCGGGTAGGGTGCAGGATCCCATATTTCTGTTGAAAGCTCTGAGAAATGGAATTGCGTAGTGTTCAGTTGCCTCCAAAATTTGACGTGAAGAGAAAATATAATTGGGGATCATTAGTCTACATTTATGTATGCTTGGATCAGATTTCCTATATGGTAGGAATGAATGGGAAGTGATTTATTATCTTGGAATTCTCTGTTTGGTGTAGGGATAGACTTATAACGTGAACCATTTTCTGAAGACCCAAGTTTAAAAAAAAATCGCACTTTTCTCATATCTCAAACCTTATATTCTGATATATTGACATTGCCTTGGATTACAATGTAGCCATGTATTTATGGATGTCATATGACTGGCTGCTGTGCTCTCAGTTGGCGTCACCAGGAAATGAAAGTAGATTCACATTTTAATGAAATTCAGCATGCAAATGGAAATGTTATTTATACTCCACTGAGGATGTGGAAAACACAAGCAGTTATTGCAATTATTCCTCATCTCTGGTTGCGTTGACCACTGAATGGCTTGCTAGGCCATTTCAGAGAGTGTTGAGAGTCAACCACATAGCGTGGATTTTCCAACTTCACTCTTGGTAACTCTACAAGCCAAGCATAACTGTTAGGTGGTCATAGCTCAACAAACTGTGAGAAGCTTGCCACAAAGTGCTCACAATGAGAAACTGTGCTTTCAGCCGGTTAAACTCCAGCAGTACCCCGAATGCACACTCTGAATTCCTCATTTGAAATATGTAAGCAGAATGGGTCCCTCCAGGGAGAGAGTGTGCATACTATTCCCGAAGCAAATAAATTTCCAATATGTAGGTGGCATTTTTAAGCATGGGGATGAGTTTCCACATGGGTCAGATATCCAGCTGAACAAAACAAATCCAGGGATTTTAACCCTTGTTAAAATGTAGCTTTAATTAAAAAAAAGCAAATTTTGAACTTCAACTTCCAACTCCCTAAATTTTTGAGAAGTGAAGGAGTGATAGTCGACCTAAATGAATAGTCGGTCAGAGGCAGAATAATAAGTGACATTTAAGAAACTGTTTGATTAGTAATAATAATAATAATGTTTGATTAATAATTAATGATTGGTAAAACCATAAGGTTAATTTTTCTGGAAGAATGAGATTAAATAGGTCAAAGGGTCTTTGGATGATTTGAAACTCTTGCGGCCTTCTGCTTATGGAATGCACACTGCAGGAAGAAAAAAATCCCTTCTTGTAGTTTGTAGATAATATTAAGCAGGTCTGGATTCACCTCTGATAATATCAATCAATTCTCAAGAACACAGTAATTTAAATATAATGAAAACGTAACATTTCTGAGACATTGCAGCGTTTGGAAATGTTTGTGTTGGACGCTAGAAATGCGACATCATACTTCAGATCTTGTGCAAGTGTGGGCATGACTGGAGCCATCGTACAAGTGATGGTTAAGCCTATGCTTCCTGCAAGATCTTGAATTTGTGCCTCAGCTAAACAAGACAACTGACTGTACTTTCGAGACTAGTGAGCTCAGTTGCCTTTCTCAGGGTCTGGTTTATTGATCTTAGCCATTTAGACAGTACTTTTCAATTCCATTAATCTATTTTGAAATCTTCAAAAGGCTCATAGTATTGTGTGCTGTAAAATAAATTTCCAAATTGCCTACACATTTACCAGTGTACATTAATAGGAAATGCCTGGCACCCTGCAATACAAAATTAATTTGGTGGAAGTTTATTTTGCATAAAAAAGGCTATGTTGTTGCTCTGAGCAGCTCAGAGGATGATGGACATGTTAGACTCGAGGTAGATGAATCATTACTTCACAAGTATTCGTAAACACTGATGGTGTCTATTGGAAAATTGCCCTTATTCTCTGTCTTTCTAAATGTATGTACTGTATTGGTTGTACTGTGGGTAAATGTTGGCTTCATTTGTTGAAAGTCCTATATGTATTTGATTTTGTTTTTAATAGCCAGGCCTGCTTTTGTAATTCAGCCACAAAACACTGAGGTCTTGGTCGGAGAGAGCGTCACTTTGGAATGTAGTGCGACTGGAAACCCTCAGCCACGGATCATCTGGACAAGAAGTGATGGGACTTCATTACCCCAACATCCTCGATATACCACAACTTCCTCCGGAGGACTCTATATACGAAATGTAGTTCAGGCAGATGGTGGCCAATATACCTGTCATGCAAACAATAATCAGGATTCCATTCAAGCAACTGCATTTATCATAATTAAAGGTAGGCAATGCAGGTTCTCGACTATTTTAGGCCATTTATGTCGAGAAATATTTACAGGTACTGAATTTAATTTTGCCCACAAAGCATACAGTTAATTCGCTTTACAGCATATTCTGTGAAGCGCTTGGAGATGTCTAGAAGAGTCGCTATAGCAAAGTGCAAGGATTATTAGTGTTCTGTATGCAATTGGCTGCCACGTTCACTTGCAAAAATACACAGGCACTACACTTTACAGTAAATCCTGCAAAGCGCTTTGAGACATCCTCCAGATACGAAAGGAGCTACATCAAATCCAAGGGTTATTTACTATAATCTCTATTTGGGTCCTTTTGTCCACTGGCCTGTTATAAAACATTGTAATGCTTTAAATTGTTTTAAGTTATTAATATTCAGTCACATTGTATTGTTTACATAATTCCTTTGTGGCGACTCATTTAGTTGTCAGTAGGAAAACGTGAGTCTCAGTTAGTTAGCTTGTTGTGTGAATTAACTGTTGAAATTCTGTGAAGAGTTAATATTTTCTCCTTTTCCCTTTAGCTCCACCTCAGTTTACAGTCTTGCCACAAGATCAAGCTGTTGTAGAGGGACACTCTGTAGATTTCCATTGTGAAGCTCAGGGTAATCCCACACCAGTTATAGCCTGGACCAAAGGAGGTATGAAATATCACTTGTCGTTTAAACTCAAGCCGGAAAATCAGCGTTTAACCAGCCACCTTCTCCGCGCTCTCCACAGACAAAATAAATAAACCAAGCGTTCATTTCTGGCATTTGGTGCTTAACATGGATGAGCAGTTTTCCTTCCTCTGCTTCTGCCTTTTGGGATATAGCCTGTATCCATAAAGGCTAATAAATTCCTGGAATTTCAACTGTTAGCTGGTAAAGAATTTCCTGTGGTGTGATTTCTCTCCTCCTCCAACCCCCATTTTTCTCTTGCCGTGCGCGTCTAAGAGCACTGTGGTCTCTGGTATCTTGTCCAAGTGACTATTCTGCATGAACCTGTATAGTGAGCTCCAATGGGCCATTTGATTTCGGAAAGAATCACTGCTGAGCCCGATCCTGTACTATCCTGACGTCCACATTCACACACTTTCTGTGAAAACAAAAGCACTTTGGGAAGCTAACCGTATGAAAGACACTATATAAATGCAAGTTGCTGTTCTGGCAGCTAGATAGCCATCTGGAAAGGAACGGGGATTGCTTTCCTAAAATGCTTTCCCACCCTCTCCCCCTCCCTGGCACAGGAGTCAATTGTAGTCTCTCAACTCCTTTCCTTGTTTTGACGTGTGTGGCTTAGTGCTACCCTCGTTGTGTTATCTCGGGTTGGTCATGTTGAAGGGAACAATGTGCACTTGCAGTGCTGTGTTATTTTTAACCCAGCACAGTATTGCTATTACGGAAATACGTAAACAAAAGCTGTTAATATGAATATCTGAGCCTCACAGATGTTCTGCCTCACAGAAGCCCTTTGGTCATAGGAGGAAGCAAAATGTGAAATAATGCAGCACAACTTCGCAATGTAGAAAAGTTACAACTCATCAGTTGAAATAATGTACAGTGGTACTCTGTGTTCTCTTTAGGTAGTCAACTTCCGGGAGACAGACGGCACATTGTCCAATCTACAGGAACGTTGAGGATTTCAGGAGTTGCACCTCACGATCAGGGCCAATATGAATGTCAAGCCATTAACATTGTTGGTGCCCGACAAGTTACAGTCCAGCTCACTGTACAGCATCGAGGTACTGTTCAACACAAAGCTGGCGTTGAAACATGTGCCAAATACACAAAGGAAACCCAATTGTCATCTTACTCAGTATCTCTTCAACTATTTGGGCTCATATGATACCTGCATTATGATTATTGTTTAAACCTAACAGAAGTCAACGGCAGAGATGGGGTAAATATCTTTTAACAGGGAATTGGGTTCCTGTGCTGTCAACTGGTCTGTTTCTGTGCTGTAGATTCTAATATAATTGATTTGAAATTCCACACTACCAATGTTATCTTGCTGACGGCAGGATACAAAAGTGGAGGCCAGACACTTCATTACCAGAAGTAGTAACAGAGCTGGCAGAACAGCATTTGGGGACCTTACTTGTACTCCTCACCCAAGGGCAGTCTGAGTATCCAGCTGTTAACATCACTAGTGTTTGACTTATTGTGGTCCAACTAAGAATTAGAGCAATGTGCAACCAACTTAGAGGCCAAGGCTTTTGTCCATTCAGTGAGAGTGAGAACGTGGAGCAGTTTGGTGGTGATTCTGATTCCCATTATAAGCTCACACCACCAAGATCCTGATGATTGAAGTTCAGAGAACCAACCTCTTCATACCCTCAGCAAAGAAATCCAAATAACACTAGAGATTTACTGTACAGAATGCCATTCAGCCCAATGTATCAGTCTTTTTAAAAAAAACTTTCAAACATTTTGCCTTTTTTAAAAAAAAAACTCTTCCTTCAGCCCCCATTTACGTATCCTTTCCTCAGACCCCTATAATTTACTAATTGTTACGCCATTAAATCCTTTTTTTTCTCTTTGGGGTTTCCAGTAACACCGGTTTTCATCACTACCCCAGCTGACTTGACTGTAGTAGGTGGAACAGATGTGCAGATTCCATGCAGTTCTCAGGGGGAGCCTGAGCCAACTGTGACGTGGAGTAAGGTAGGCCAACTAATGTTTCAGTATGATCAGCTGCATATTTTATATGTATATCTTTAATCACTTAAATATTTTCCTCTTGAGGCTGACTGACTTGATAATGGCTTTGGGTTATCCATCTAGCTTTGCTTATATAAATAATAATTAATAATAATCATTACATTTGATAAAGCGCCTTTCATGTTAAGATGTTTCAAAGTACTTCACAGGATTTAATGGAAAGTGTAGTGCCTCTGTATTTTGTAGAAGGACGCGGCAGCCAATTTGCACACCATGTCCCACAAACAGCCATGAAGTGAATGATCTTTTGTTCTGGGGAATTGTTGGCCAAGGAACAAGGAAGAAATTCTCATATCTTTTCAAATAGTACCATAGTAACTTTTAACCTCCACCTGAACAGACAGATAGGATCTTGATTTAACATTTCATCTGAAGGTCGGCACCTTGAGTAATGCAGCACACCTCCAGCATTGCATTGTTGCGATCTTGCCTATGTGTGATCAATATCCCATTGTGGGGCTTGAAACCACAATCTTTTGACTCAGGAGTGAGGCAGGGCTTGACTGTCAAGCCTCAAGGGCACAGGTACAATGTTGTAGGGCACATTTTTTCATTTTAGGTGACTATTGATTAAAAATGAACAGAATTGTGAAATACAAATTTGCTAGTTATTTGTATGTAGGCATTTAGCGATATTCTCTTTATCAGTAACGGTGGTGTGAGAAGTAGTGGGGTGGTGTGGGTCAATGTCCAAGCAGTAAATAGGAACCCGGTTGTTAATCAATTGGCAGAATGCTTTTTCAGGGACAACAATCCCTCCCAAAAAAAAAAAGAATTTAAAAAAGAAAAAAAAAGCGGTCACTCAATCCATGACTGTTTGTGGGACACTGCTGTGTGCAATTGTCTGCTACATTTCGCCCACAAAATATACAATCAATTCACTTTAAAGTATCTTCTGTGAAGCGCTTTGAGACGTCTAGGTGACGTGATAAGGTGCGATAGCAAATGCAAGGATTATTATTTATTATTATTTTTATGTGCAAATTGTCTGCAACTTTCACCTACAAAATACAGTCAATGGACTTTACAGTATGTCCTGTTAACTGTTGTGAGATGTCCTCCGAATGTCATAGATACTATATCAATGCAAGGATTTTTTTTAAATTCAAAACAATTTGCCGACTGAATTTCAGACTCGACTGGGCACTTGAGTGACTGCAGTGTCGCTGTTGTCGTCTATTTAAACTGTTGCTTAACGTGTTCAGTGGGATGTTAAGTTTTTAAAAAAAAACATTTCCCAGAAGAACTTAGGAAACATTAAAGCCATCTGACAATACATTAACAATACTTTTGCACAGGATGGAGTTCAGATAACAGAGAGTGGGAAGTTTCATGTTAGTCCAGAAGGGTTTCTTTCAATTCGTGATGTTGGACCTGCAGATCAAGGGCGATATGAGTGTATTGCCAGGAACAGCATTGGCCACTCTGCTGCCAGCATGGTGCTGACAGTGGTTGGTAAGTTTATTTCATAAATTGACTGGAAATACAGATGACAAATGCAGTGTTCAGATTTATGGCTTTCATTAAGGGACAGTGGTACATGGATAGTGGGGTTATCAGCGTCAATTCATTTCATTGGCAGAAGATTCTGTCTGGGTTGCACGTGGCTCATAAAATCGTGGTGTTAACATTCATTCACCACCTCCCTATTTTTTTCCATTGAAAGGCTCCATCAATTCATCAATAGTGTATCGATGGTGCACAGAACTTCACCTTTTCTACATGGACGAAACCCTAAATACTCACCATTCAGTCCAGGCAATTGCCTTTATTTTTGCCCCGTCTCTTCCCTCCCCACCCCCCCTCCTCCACCACCACACTTAAAGTACTTGATCTGTACTCCAGTGCTTACACTTGAACGGAATGGAGTAAAGAGCTGCCACACAGGGTCCAGCAGCTCCCCATGGCCTTGTCCCAAGTGGGCATTCCTCACACGTGAATGCAGATGGTGAGTGCTATGGGACTCATTCAACTGTTGACGGCATCACAGCCGAGTCTAAAACTGTCCCGTGCATAGTCCACACTCATGCCCTTGCAAATAGGGGAGAAGAGATGATTATTATAAATGGGACCTTTGCTCCATTTTATTTATTTTCTGTATTTGCCAATTCGATCGAAGGATCAAGCCAAGGATTTTCTCACTGTAAACCTTGGATAAATTCATCACTGAGCAACCGTTGATGAATTGGTTAAGAAAAGTGCGTTGCCTTGTTGGTCCCTGGAAGGAATCACAAGGAGAAATTGGCGGTTATTCAGACTGTCCTGTGACTGCTTCATGACTTCATGGTGCCTCCTCTACAAACTGTCTGGCCTGTAGTGCTGGCTGTAGCAATGTGAATATTTCTCAAGTAATTCCATGTGACAGCCCGAGATGACAATGAAACGATTCACCAGTAATTTCATACGTAATCGTACTCATTGATGTTGGCTGAGCTGAAGATCTCTTCTCAGACTACCAGCAATACTGGTGTTTTTCTAGCATACCTACATTTTACCATTCTGTGGTGGAGTACAATGAGAGTCTGTTGTGCTTTTATTTAAAACTTGTTCGTGATTGTAATTGTATCTGTTATAGAATATGAGAATAGCTGCCCCAGTTGTTACAATTATGCTGACGTGATATTAACAACAAAGGGATGTCTATTGTTGCTAATTCAACAGCTTTGTTTAGTCGGATGAAACCTTTTACAGTACATCGTACATCTTGTATTGTCTTTGTTTTGTTCTTGTGAACGAAAATCTGATTTTTTAATTTGCTAAAGCAAAACTAGAAGATTGGCTCGCCTTGTGTCTGTCTTGGAATTAGGCTGTAATTGTGCCCAACTTTGTTATTCCACCACAGTCCCAGAAGGCGTTCGAAGTGGGGACACTTTTGTAGTGTCTTCAATTCAAGAAGCTATTCAGAGTGTTGATCGTGCCATCAACTCTACTCGCAGAGATTTGTTTGACAGGTAAAGCAAAGCTTTATTAATACTTCAAATGTTATATAGGCTTACTGAATGCCTCTCTGGAGTGAAATGGTATTCGATTTCATCAGGGTTTTTGTTTAGATTTCCGACGATGGCTTCAAGACTGGCACAGAGAAAATACTAAAAGAACACTTCATACTTTTGCTGTTTACAGAAATGAGTCTATCTGTGGTTTTCCCACTGGATGATAGCCCAAAAATGTTAGAAAACACTTGAGCCAAAAATCCGCAGCACTTGTTACTTATGCAAGAAGCAATCCAATAAATTCCTCGACCATGTATAGCACTGCCAGTGCAGTATCTATCAGTGCTCGTCACCTCAAGGCTCGACTACGGAAACTCCCTCCTTGTCGGCCTTCCCAACTCTTCCCTCCACAAGCTGCAGATCATTCAGAACTTTGCAGCTTGTGTCCTCTCCTGTACCAGGCTCCATGACCCCATCACCCCCAATAGAATTCAGAATCCTCGTCCTCACTTTCAAGGCCCTTCACAGACTTGCCCCCTCCTCCATCTCTGACCTGCTGACCCCCTATCAACTTGTCCGCTCCCTCCATTCAGCAGACTCCAGCCTGCTGCATGTCTCCCACCCTACTATTGGCGGTTGGGCTTTCAGCCTCTCTACCCCCACTCTTTGCAACTCCATTCCACAATCCCTATGCCTTGCTCCCTCCCTTGCCTCCTTCAAGACACGACTCAAGAGCCCCCATTTTGACCATGCCTTCAGCCGCCCTCCTATTCCCTCTGCTCTCCCTCATCCCAAACCTGCCCCACCATGCTCAGGTCCTGATCCCTGACTGTTCAGCACCTTGGGGCATCCTCCCAACGTGAAAGGCACTTTACAAATGTAATGTTGTTGTTGCTTACAATTATATCAACCAGCCCACCAATGTGACGTCCATTAATAATATTCAGTATGTTTGCAGAGCAGTTAATGCGGAAGCTACATCAATGTTATGGAACTGATTAGAAGATGGTTTCTGCATATTCAGTTATTAAATAAAAAAACTATAGTCAGAATGAGCATAGGAAAAATAAGCCACTTATTTGACTGAATTGATAAGTTCCTGTCATATCTTGCATGAGTTGAGAATAATACACTAGAGTGCTAACCAATTAGGTATTAATAAACACAACCCAATACCACCTGCAAGTACTTCATTACCATTTTTTAATCAAATCTTTACTCTTCAATCTTCAAACAAATCTGGTTATTAAACATACAGGAAAATAATAGTGAATAGCAATCTTTTATATAAAAATAGTCATCTGCTTAACTGATAAACTGCAGTATATTTCAATAAATAACAGTGTCCTTTTTTTCTTATCTTTCTAACCATGTTGGATCATATAGTGCAGGTAGAGTATAAGGTGCATCAATGTTTTATATGCTATTTGAGCTTTTTTTATAACAACTATTTGTACTGCTTGTAAAGGCTAGAAATGTATATGTGTGCAATACTTGGGTTAGCTTGTTTTGACAAGAGACAAAAAAACACAAAGTGAACCCGTATCACACACTTTTAAGGCAATCTTAAACATACCACTTTGTCTTTATTATGCTTGGTATATATCGTTTATGAGGATAACATGATTACACCATTTAAAGTTTACTCTTTCCAATGTAATGGGAGTAAAAATTAGCCTAACAATATTAGAACACACTTCTGCCAAAAAAAATCACGTTACTTATTACTTGTTCAATAAACAATCCAAAATGAATTCCTCAATCATTTATAGAACTGGTCTAGTTGGAAGTGAATTGCTAAATACAGAGTGTAAAAGGTTTTACATTTAAAGAAAGCAGAACTGTATTGAAATCAAATTGCACAAGATGATTTTTTTTTTACATTTGCCATGAGACTAGATAAGCCACATTAAACATGGGAGCCACGAATGATTTTTTGAAAAAAATTGTTCAAACACTTTCTCTTAACAGACGCCCTCAAACTCCAAATGACTTGCTTGCCTTGTTCCGCTATCCAAGGCTCCCATTTGTTTTCGATCTTGCAAGAGCCGGGGAAATATATGAACGGGCCCTGCAACTAATTCAGGAACACGTCAATGATGGACTGATGGTCGACTTGAATGGAACAGGTCAGTAAGAGTAGCTTTTGTGGTTGACTTCCAGAATGGCCAGTAGATGGCTTTTAATGAACACTTTATTCATGGCAAGGTTTTGTTTAAAGAAGACCTTTCCTGAGGCACCAGTCAATTTGCCAAACGCTGAGTGTTTGCTCAATGAAAACAATTGGATAAAGGGGTTATTTGGTTTCCCACGGAGGTACTCTCAAAAATGAACTCCTACTCTATTAACAAAGGATTAATGCTTTTTGTATAAACTGTCAAAGTATTTTGTTTAAAAGTATGACATCTAACATGAATCTGAAAGTAGTTAGCACTACAACTTTGATGACTCCATTGTTAGTTAAACAATAGTGAATGGTTGAATACAATGGTTTCTAGGGGCTCAATAGAAGAGGTTACAATAGTTATGACAGCATTTTTGAGTCCTATGTACAGTTTTATAATTTCACAAAGCACAGAGATGTTGTTGCTCAACATTGTGCTGTTTGAATAACATTATCTATGTTTGGATTTTGTGAATGGCAGTAATGTGTGTCCTAAATTGAAGAAGTTAGGATGCAATCACCACTAATGAAATGACTGAGAGTAGTAATAAGTAACTCCCACCCCTCACAATAAAAATAAATAAAACTGCTTTTGATGTCCAGAGCTATTTAGGTAAACCAAAGCTTTTCTTTTTTGTACATTTCTGAATGCATGCAGTTTTAAGTTAAAGAATATGACTATTTGGCTGGAAGACATAAAATGTGGAGTCCTGTAGCTTAGTGATTAGAGCACTCGCCTCGCAAGCGAGAGGACCTGGGCTCGTCTTCCGGCAGGGTGAAACACTGAGCAAGTTTCCTTACTCCACTAACCTCTGTTTACCAAGCAGCAAGTAGGAACCCAGTAGTTAGTTGATTGGTGGATTGCATTTCTGGGGGTAATAATTCCTTTAAAAAGTAATAATAATAATTTGGTCACTTAATCTATGACTGTTTGTGAGGCACTACGGTGTTCGCCAATAAAACATACAGTCGATTCACTTTACAGTATATTCTGTGAAGCGCTTTGAGATGTATAGAAGACATGATAAGGCTCTATATCAAATGCAAAGATTATTATTATTATGATCCTATTGTTTTGAAATGTTTCCCCATGAAGAATGGTAAAAGTGAAGGATCACAAGAGAGGTTTGGATGACAGCTGTCCATTGTCCTTTTTGATATTATCCCTTCAGAATACCTGCTATATTAATAATCCTCGCATTTGATATAGCGCTTTTTCACGTCTTCTAGACATCTCAAAGCGCTTCACTGAATAGACTGTAAAGTGAATTGACCGTATTTCTGTGGGCAAAACGCGGCAGCCAATTACGCACAGCAATGTCCCACAAATAGTCGTGGATTGAAGTGACCAATTTTATCATTTTTTTGAAGGATTATTATCAGGTTGTGGAGTAAGGAAACTTGCCCAAGAGTTCGGCCTGATGGGAATCGAACCTAGGTCTCTTGCTTGCGAGGCCAGTGCTCTAACCACTGAGCCACAGGACTCCTATTGTATTTCCTTTGCAAAATTCAGATCCTTAGGAAATCATTTTTCTGGCCTCAGCCATCCTTCTGATCAGGCATCCACTCATTGATTACTTTTTGTGGAAAGTTAAACACTTGCTAGTGTCTTGACCTAAAGTTCCCTGACCATGTGCCCTCATGTCCAGATGACTTGGCGCATCTGCCTCTATTTCTCTCTATTGTGGGTGTTTCTTAACACAACGATCTCGTTTCACTACATTATTTTAAGCGATAGCTCTGGGTTAGAAAGAAGAATTTGAATTTTATTAATAATATCTGTATGAAAAAATTATAATATTGAGTAATGCCTCAAAGCATTTAACATTAACCACAACAACGTCTGTGCCTTTTTTTGTAGGCAATCAAGGTAGCCATTTTGCACAGACCAAAGTGTCAGTCTAGATTGTGAGCTCAAGCCTGACTGTTGAGCTTTAACTCACAACCTTCTGACTCGGATAGATAGCTGCCAACTGAGACAGACAGCATTTCTTTGATTTATTTTCAATGGCTATGCGTGACTACCACATTCTTTGCTGAACACTCTTCTTTTGTTGTATATTGGTCTCTGCAGTGCGATTCAGTTTAACTATTTTTTGGTCAGCTGGTTGTCTTGACCCATATAGATATCTATCACTATGTTTAACAGTATCCAAACCAGTCTGAGTTCTACACATGAATGCTACCTGTGCATTGAAATTTTCACGTGTCTGGAATGGAATGGGCGCGCTCTCCCTGGAGGGGTGCACCCTGTTTATCTAATCCTAGAAAGTATTGGGTGCAGTTTGGTGAGAGCCATGCCTTGGGGTCCCCAGAGAGTGCATTGGGGTACTACTGTAGTTTAACTAGCAAAAAATGTATAGCTTTCTATTTGAGAGCATGGCTGCCAAACTTCCCACTGCTTGTCCACCCTACCTGTTACAGTTTTGGCTTGCAGTGAGAGCCTGCCCCCAGTGACTGGACTGCCTCTCCCATGTCCTGCTGATGAAACAGTCTGGCTGTTCTGCCATCAGCAAAGCCTTGGAGTACAGCAGACATATATTTAAATGAAAACAGTTGGACAGCTATGATTATTAAAAGTGCTCAGAGTAAGAGCCATCTGAAAAAAGACTGGTAATGGTAAATGTAAAAAGTTTTTAAGATAATTATATGCCTTATATAAACAAATCAATTTAAAAAAATAAATAATTTATTTGGCCTAAGGCTGCAAAATGTTCATTTAAAATCTTGACTCCGAAAGCTTGAAGATTGATTTTTCTGTGGCTATTTATCTCCCATTTTTACGTACTGCTGGAATTTTTCATGATTGAAAGAATTGTATAGTCACTCAGCCAAGGTGCCGTCTGCCTGTTTAGGTGGACGTGAAAGATCCCACGGCACTATTCAAAAATAGAAGTGAGTTTCTCCTGGGATCCTGGCCAACATTCCCCCAAATAATAGAGACAACATGGCTGTTGCGGTGCGCAAACTGGCTGCTTTGTTTCACCCACAAAAATCAGTCCACTTTATAATATATCCCTGTGAAGCGCTTTGGGATGGCTCCACGATGTGATAAGGCACTTGATCAAATGCAAGGATTATTTTAGTATTATTTAAATTGACCTCTTCTTGTTTATTCTCTCTCTTTCCCTCCACCCCCCAATAGGTTTCCGCTATAATGATCTTCTGTCACCGAGATTCCTCAACCTAATTGCAAACCTGTCTGGTTGCACAGCCCACCGGCGGATCAATAACTGTTCCGATATTTGTTTTCATCAGAAGTATCGGACCCACGACGGAACGTGCAATAACCTGCAGCACCCCATGTGGGGAGCTTCTCTTACAGCCTTTGAGCGTCTTCTCAAATCAGTCTATGAGAATGGCTTCAACCTGCCAAGAGGAATTAATCCGAACCGTTTTTACAATGGATTTCCTCTCCCTCTACCTCGTCTTGTTTCAACCTCTTTGATCGGCACTGAAACCATCACACCTGACGACCAGTTCACTCACATGCTGATGCAGTGGGGTCAGTTTGTTGATCATGATATGGACCTGACTGTGGCAGCACTGAGCTTGTCGAGGTTCTCAGATGGCCAGCACTGCAGTTCTGTCTGTACAAATGATCCCCCTTGCTTTCCCATCACAATCCCTCGAAATGATCCCAGAGTGCGTAGTGGGGCACGGTGCATGTTCTTTGTACGTTCCAGCCCTGTTTGTGGGAGCGGCATGACATCCTTGTTAATGGAATCTGTGTACCCACGGGAACAGATCAACCAGTTGACTTCTTACATTGACGCATCCAATGTGTATGGCAGCTCAGATCAGGAGGCTGAAGAAACGCGTGACTTGGCTAGTCAACGAGGCCTGCTGAAGCAGGGCATAGCACACAGGTTGGGGAAACCTCTCTTGCCTTTTGCTACTGGTCCACCAACTGAATGCATGAGAGATGAAAATGAAAGTCCCATTCCTTGTTTTCTGGCTGGAGATCAACGGGCAAACGAGCATCTGGGTTTAACTAGCATGCACACTGTGTGGTTCAGGGAACACAACCGTATTGCTACTGAATTATTGCAACTGAATCCACACTGGGATGGTGAGACAATCTATCATGAAGCCCGGAAAATAGTTGGCGCACAGATGCAGCACATAACCTACAGCCACTGGCTCCCCAAAATCTTTGGTGATGTTGGAATGAAGATGCTTGGGAACTACAAAAGCTATGATCCTAATGTAAATTCAGGAATATTAAATTCCTTTGCCACAGCAGCTTTTAGATTTGGGCACACGCTTATCAACCCCATTCTCTATCGTTTGGATGATAACTTCCAGCCGATTTCTCAAGGCCATCTTCCTCTTCACAGAGCATTCTTCTCGCCATTCAGGATAGTCAATGAGGGTGGCATTGATCCATTGCTTCGAGGTTTGTTTTCTGTGCCAGGGAAGAAGAGAATTCCTACCGAGTTGCTCAATACAGAACTGACTGAAAGACTGTTTTCCATGGCACATACAGTAGCTTTGGATCTGGCTTCAATGAACATTCAGAGGGCCAGAGACCATGGAATACCTCCTTACAATGACTATAGAGTGTTCTGCAATCTCTCTTCAGCTCATGAATTTGAAGAACTGAAAAATGAAATTAAGGATCCTCAGATCAGGCAAAGGCTCAGAAAGTAAGTGTTGTAACCTTGACTGGTTCACAAAATGGTAATGAAGCCTTTTAGGCCAGAAGAACGTCTCAAAAGCATTTAGCAGGGACATAGTGGCAGACTGAGCTGTGAAGGGATAAAGGAGAGATACTTGCAAGTACAGTCAAAGATATAAATTTTTGGTCTCAGCACAGTCTTAAGAGTTTGGTGTTTTGAATGCAGAGAGGGAGGGAGAAATTGGAGAGAATGCGGCCTTCCTGAATAATATTTCCTTTGCTCTTTCATTCTCTCAGTTTATATGGCACGCCCTTGAACATCGATCTTTTCCCTGCATTAATAGTGGAGGACGTGATTCCTGGAACCAGAATGGGACCTACACTGTTATGCTTGCTGGCAACCCAGTTTAAGCGTCTTCGAGATGGTGATAGGTATGTGGCAACCGGTTTGTGGTCTGTTTTCTTTCTTTCAACACTGATTATGAAGGCTGCTTTGTGTGTTAAGGAAGGTATAGTTGAGTGCACTTTAACCATAATATAGATTATTCCAAACCACAAATAATTTTATTCATAGCATTTTGCATACGTCCAAGTGGGCTACCTAACCAATCGAGGAGGGGAAAAAACTATGTTGGATCTGCCAGCAAATTTTAGTGACCTGTAAATTGGAAGTACTTTTTAAATTAGAATTTTTTTTNCCTATACTCAAAAAATCTCTCCCTGGACCCATTCCTGCTCTCAAACTACCGCCCTATCTCCAACCTCCCTTTCCTCTGCAAGGTCCTGGAACAAGTCATTGCTTCCCAGCTTCGCTCCTTCTTCTCCCACCAATGCCTTCATAAACCCCTCCAATCGGGTTCCCGTTTCGCCCACAGCACAGAAGCAGTCCTGGTCAAAGTAACAAATGACATTCTGTCCATCTGCGACCAGGATTCCCTCTGCCTCCTCATTCTCCTTGAACTCTCTGCTGCCTTTGACATTGTTGACCACTCCTTGACCTCATCCACTGCTTCTCCTCTCATCTCAACCTTCACTGCTCTATCCTTGACTGGTTCAGATCATACCTCTCACACCGCCTCCACTTTATGTCTACAAATGATTTCTTCTCTAGCTCCCGCACCGTCTCATGTGGCATTGCTCAGGGCTCTGTCCTTGGTCCCCTCTTCTTCAATATCTATATACTCCCTCTTGGTGACTTCATTTGCAGACATGGGGTCAACTTCCACATGTATGCAGATGACACCCAACTCTGCCTCTCTGCCTCCATCCTTGATTCCAGGATCATTGCTGGTCTGACACATGTATGCAGATGACACCCAACTCTACCTCTCTGCTCCCATCCTTGCCTGACTCCACTGGCTTCCCATCACACATAGGATACAGTTCAAGCTCCTGGTGAGAGGAGGTGAAATTTCCATGTTTAGATGGCATGCTGATGTGGAACTTGGTCTAGTTTAGATATTCTTAAACTTGAAGATGAACTTCCACAAGTGTCAAGGCAGCCGGCTAACAGGACATAATAGGAGTCGGTGTTAAATAAAGAACTTCCTGCCAGTGATAGACTGAAAATCTATAAATTTTGCAGGGCAGCTCATGTGTCTGTGCCTATATTGGGAGAGACTGGAACCATTATTGTCCATCTACATTTATAGCTGAGTAATAGATCAAAATCAGAGTCTCTTATTGTGCATCTCATCTGACTGACCAAAGATGTTGCCAAACGTTACATACTTTAGGACCAGAATGTTACATTCCCCATCATTTGAGTAATGTTATAAATTGCTTGATTTATTAACTCAATATTTTGATAAATAGTGTTAATGATCACCATATTGATAAGAGCACTAATGACTTAATTTTATGATTAGCACAATGAGGTAAATGAAACTGAGCTGGAATGAACTGAACAGTCTTGCATGTGCCTCCTTCACCTAGTTGATAAGTATTCTGCCAACTGAAGGGATTTTCTTTATGGAAAAACAAGGAAAGTAGAGCAGTACTTCGATCCTGGATTTACACTGCTGGAGCGATTATTGCTTCAATAGCAAAGCCATTTGGAGCAGGAACCTACACTTAATGTTTCCCACAACATAATTGCTTTGGCCAGGCTTGAGGATAGTTCTCCGCATGCAAACTTGTGTGTGTGTGTATAGCTCCTGCAACTAGGGCCATATGCTATTTTTTTCTCAATGTGGAATAGTCTGTCGTAAGATCAGCTCTTTAATAACAATAAAAGCTGTTTGGATTGCACAACTTTGCCTGCAAAAAATATAAAACTGTATCAATCCAATTCCTGAAACTACTTCTTGAAATGATTTGGGGAGTGGAACTGGAATCAAATCATACCCTGAAATCTAGTTCTTACTGAACTTTGACTCTAATTAGGGAAGTAATGTAAGATAATCATCTCTCCTGTTTTCTACATACTTCATCACGTGGAAGATATCTGGTCTAGATATCCTTAAACATGTGATGGGTTTCTGCATGTGTTAGACACCCGACTGAACCCAAAAAAATCAATATCAGGGTATCAAGTGCTAAATAAGGGTCGTTGAAGCGTGCATTTGGCCATGATGTGACTAAGCCTCCTTGGCACTGAAACAAATTCGGCAGACTCTTTGCAATCTCAGCCACCAGGGTCCATTTCATGACACCAATTTATTGCTGCCTCCAGCTGTTATCATGCCACCTAATACCCAAATACAAATTGTTTCTTGTTATTGTTTCTCACCAACAGGAAGCAACTATTTTTGTTCCTGAAACCATAGCATTTCCACTGATGTGAACAATTATGTATGTTGTGGATCACAGAACATTGATTGGTTTGTTCTTTAATTTAGTTTAAATTTAAATTGACCTTATGTTGGGTAAATGTTTTTTTGTTGAACCGGTATTGAAAGTTGGGTCGGGTTTTCGAGCTGATGAAGTGACGATCAGAAGGCATTGTTCAACACAGAAATTAAAAAAGTTTCAAATGAACATGACTGGCTTAAAAAATGTGTTTTCCCCTTTCCTATGGGTGAACAGGTTCTGGTATGAGAATCCTGGGGTGTTCACTCCAGCGCAGCTCACACAGATCAAGCAAAGCTCCCTTGCTCGTGTCCTATGTGACAATGGAGACAACATCACCAGGATCCAACCTGATGTGTTCAAAGTGGCGACATTCCCTCATGGTTATGAGAGCTGTGCTGACTTACCAAAAATGGACTTGAGGATGTGGCAAGATTGTTGCGAAGGTTCGTAACTGATGGGTGAGGTCTGAGTGACTTGTGGGGGAAGAGTCTTTGGGTGGAGTTTCTCTTTTGTGGGAAGAAATTTATACTAAGTTTGAGCATATGTTAGGTTTCAGAGGATCATTGATGTCAGCTTGAGTGATTTTGCATCTACCCTTCCATAAAAATGCAGTTTATGTAAGTGCATGGTTGAAAGTGCATAGTTTACCTTCAATGGTAAAAGTAATTGCTGAGTTGTATACCAGGGAGAATTATTTTTTGTACTCCACATGCTAATATGAATTAAAGTCCACATATGCAGATTTGGTTTCTATTTTAGAGCAGAGGTTCGTTCTGTATAATCAGCTCTTTCAAATTTGAAGTATGCAAATTGAGGTGAATGTATGAAACGTGTGTATTGTGGCCTCACTGTTTTCTGTTTTGCTGATCATCAAACCTAAGGAATGTTAATCTTATAGAATCTTCATTCCGTGAATCCAGATTATGTTCAGGGTACATCTGTGTTTACCATTAGTATACATACATCCGTTCCTTTTCCAGCCAAATGGAAAGTTTTGCAGCTGAAAACTGGTTTAGCCAAATATAAACTGGTCCCTGGACATAATTTAGTCAAAAATAATGAGACTGACAATGCAGCTGTTGCTTTGTTTCCTGTCAAGCAGTGCAGGAAAATTTAATTTATTTGTTTTGTGATGTCCCTATTTTGAAAGCATTAGTGGGCAGAATTATTACTTTAAAGACGTTTTGTTGCAACCTATTGGGGTCAGCAATTTGCATTGGGATGCACAGATAGATTTAAGTCTCCAACTGAGAGTGACAAGATCACAAGCCTGGTTTGGATGAAGAAGGTCCTTTTGGCCATTTGATCTCATCTTTCCAAAATACCCACCCTACCGTCCTTCCATCACAGGATCAAACTATTTCTTAAATGAATCCTGGCATTAACTTGTTCCAGTCGTTAATTAACCTCTGGTATGAGAAATTGCCCTTTGTTACTCTCAACTTATGTTCTCTTGTTCCAGTGTGTTGCTGCAGGTAAGTACTTTGCAGGTGATACACAGTAACCCGTGAGGTGGTGATGTTCCAGATTGGGTATCCTGTGAGTCGGTTGTGACATACCATAGGTTTCCAGTGTAGTGACTGTGACTTCCTCTTGCTGAATCCCATTGTGAACCGCTTCTCTTTTGACCCCATTGAATCTAAAAGGCTTAATTTATCAAAACAGCAAGTGAGATTTACCAACAAGAAGCCAGCAGGTTTCTTAACCATAATTCCTGTCATTCTGCAGCCTTTTCACTAAAGTCTTTGATTGCATGAGTAGTGCAGTCACCTACCGATTACTATGCTGTGATGTGGCTTTTTATTTTGTATTGAAAATTTAAAAAATGTGAAACGGTATAATTTTTTGTGCTTGATGTGTTTCAAGTCATCCTGTTAGAATTTAGCTTTGTTTGAAGACCTAAATCGGGGTGGATAATGCTGTATCTGGATGATGTTTCAGTCTTTTATGTGAAGCTCCTGGCAGAACAGAAGAATTTCCATTCAGGGAGCTTTAGCTGGATTCTGTCTAGACTTATTGCACGGAAGAAACTATATTTGTTACTTGTGTTGTATTCACCAATTTTGAATGAGCCAACATTCTCATCTGAAAAAGCAGCTGCCTTACATTAAAGATGCAGCCAAATAATCAAGAACTATCTGTAATGCGCACAGAACCCAATTCATGCAATCTTACCTTGATGAAAAAAATGTTTCAAATGTGTGACTTGCTTAGCCTATCCAGCTATTTGAGGGATATAACTATGGGTTGCGAACATACAGATTATGCAGTCAAAGTGAAGGAGAGAAACAATTTTTGCACTAGGTTGAGAAGACTATACAGTCAATTCACTTTACAGTATATTCTGTGAAGCGCTTTGAGACATCCCAAAGAAGTGATAAGACACTGTATCAACAACAACATTACATTTGTAAAGCGCCTTTCACATCGGGAGGACGTCCCAAATACAAGGATTATTATTATTATTAAAAACAATTTGCTTACTGTTGTATTCACCACTGTGACAGTATAAATCTGTCCGCATTCAGAAAGACTATGAAACTTGGTGACATCTGCAATCACACTCATACACAGCAAAGTGGTAGGAAAAGGACTAGATAATGTCGCTAACCATGTGAATTTCAAAAAGTAGCCAGATGTTATGGCAGATGAGAGCAGTTGAACATACCATGTACAAAGACCAATTCAGGTATATTTGTCTGCATAGTTGGTGAAGCCCCAATTTGTTTCAGTATTTTAGTAGATTAGAAGATGTATTTGTGATGGGTTTCTCCATGTGTCAGACACCGCGGTGGCTGACCAAGTTAAAAGGAACATGTGCGAATGTGTACGAATTAAGGCATCTTTAATAATTCGGTCATTGCAAACCAATAAAATGATTACCGGTTATTTTGTATCCTTTACTTCGATTGTTAATCATGTTAGGTTAGGACACCTGTGTGCTTTTGCACATTTAAGCCAACCTGCAAATTGTGCACGTTTTGTTAACTCAAAATTTAGATCCAAATGCTTACTTTTAAAAGTCCCGTATGCGCCTTGTATTTATTTCTGTCTTCATGTAGCAACTATAACATGCATTGATATAATGGCTTCATATGGGTTAAAGCCTCAGAGTAGTGTTTGGATACCAGCGAGTGGGAAAGTTTATCGTAGATACGGTCAAAGAAGTAAGTTTCGGGTGGAATTTGAAGACTGATAACAAGGGTGCGAGGCAGAGGGATAGAGGCACAGTTCCAAAGGTTACAATACAATTTACATTTATACAGTATAGCATCTTTCACATTGGGAGGATGTCTCAAAGTGCTTAGTAATGTTGCCTGGACACCTGAGTCAAAGCCAAAGGTATGGGGAAGGGAAAGCTGACTGAAAGCGGAGTCAAAGAGGCACGTCTTAAGGTTTTGTGGTGTAACCTCGTGCAGAATACTTGTGGTTATTTAGGCAGAATCTATGCAGTTGAGGATTCAATCCTTCTATCAAATAGACCTTTGAAGCTTCTAAGTTATTTCTGAGCTTTTTTTCCCCAGAGTAACTGCTATGTAGTTGGCATGTGCCTTTTTTTAAAAAAAACAGCTCATTATAACCAGGTGAAAGTGGTAGCTGCATTGGGAATCTCAGTCCCAAAGATGTGGATAAATGTTTTCTTATGAATGATGTTACACTGCTGTCGCCATCACACTGCTCTAGCAATGAGAAATGTTATATAAAGTCAGGAAAAGATATTCAGATAACTCCAAGCACGTCTCATTTGGTTCATTTATCCAGGTGCAGGGACTAACTCCATGCTCTAACCATTCCTTCAATTAATGCTTGGAAAACAGTATATTTTCAGCTTGTCTGCATGAGTTCAAATTTATATCTCTGACATATTAAAGCTTTGGAACGGAACTGGGGAGGCTTCCTGTTACCATTGGCACACCAGCTCTGATAGATACTATATTCTTGCAATGTTTAGAGCACTAAAAAGTCTGGAGGTTAGAAACTTGAATTGGCTCCAAGAAAGGTTATTAGAGTTGTACCTGGCTCTAATTCTCAGCTTTGAATCTTTTTTTCGAACTAATAGAAGTGACAACTACATCACATAAAGATGCGGGAGGTATTAAAGTCGTTTAATAAGATAAAGTTCAAGGGGAGGACGGTACTTTCTGTTCTAAGAGCTCTTGTGTTTGGAAAGTGTAGTTGTGTATCCATATTCCTCAATAGAAAATATTGAAACATGTATAACATGAGACCCATAATTTTGGGCCCCTTTTTTCTACTGACCTCCTTTCAGAAGCAGCTAATTTTCAAAATCGTATCTAGTCCATCGCCAAACTTTGCTGTCTTCCACCTTCAGAATATTGACTGATTATCCGCACCTCACCTCCATTGATGGAGAAACCTTTTCCAACCTTCTGTTAGCTCCTCGATAGATGTCCCATTGTTCTCTTTGCTGACTTCTTTAGCTCCATTCTCCAGATACTTCAACGGGTCCAAAACTCTTAGCTTAAGTTCTCTCCTATTACCTCCATCCTCATCAATCTCCTATAATTGTCTTTATCTCAGAGGATCAAATTTAGTTCCTTGTCTATAAATTGTTTTATGGTCTTGTCCCACCTTACCTATGCAAACTTGTCCAGCTCTACATTCCAGCCTGTACACTCTGCTTTTCAGACTGGGCTATTACTTATTCCCTTTCTCTTCACTCCACCATTGATCCATAAATGCCAAGCCTTCAGGTACTACGCCCTCGTCATTTGGATCCCCCTTCCAAAATCATTCCCTCTTTCCCTAATTTCCAAGAAAATTCCAATGCTAAGCTCCCTACTACACATGTACACAGCTGTGCTCAGCTAATGATGTATGTCCAGGGTTAGGGGGCTCTATAAAGGGATCTAAATTGGCTCTCATATTATACACAACTGTAATCTATTCTACTGAGGAACTTGAGAAGGACGGAAACCCCAAATGATTGACAACCACCTAATTTTTACCAGCTAATTGCTGCTTTTGTTGTATCTAGCTACCAACATATAATCTGCCAAATGCAACAGTCATATTTTTGGTATGTTTAAGCAACAACTTTAATGCTCATCATAAGTTCACCATAACCTTTTAGACTATGGAGAGTTGTTTCACTCCAGATGTTGGGTTGGGGCTCCAGCAATTTCTAGACCATCTCCACCTTCCATTTGATTGGAGTCACATTTGGATTTGACACGTCTACACTTGAAATCTTAGTGCTACATTAATGTTTCACTCTGGGCAGTTATGGTGAGGAAGTGCTCATAAACCAAAGTTATGCAGCAATAAAAATAATAGACTTGCCAACCACAGGCAGCTTCTATTGTAGAATAATTCAGTGTGAATTCTTTAAATACCTCGACAAAGTTAAGTATTAATATGAAATTATCATCCCATCGATCTTAAGCACAAAAAGAGGGAAGAACATCTATCCATTAAAATGAACTGATGCCAACCTGAAAGTTATTTTTTCCTTATATGCCCCTAACAAGGCGTGACAAATTTGCCTGAAGCTTTTCATAGTTTGCCACTTTTAGATTTTGGGCCCCAGCTCAGCTGCTGTTCTTAATTGCTGTCTAGGAATCCCTGCTGAGTGTTATAGGGATGTGAACATTGAGGACAAGATAGCACTCCATTGTAATAGGTTTGCCAACACTTAGTCAAGGCCCAGAAATGAGTAATGATCTTGCTCTGTAACTGTATCCCAAGAGTAGTCAAACACTAACAGTGGACAGGAAAAACAAATTGTGTTGTAAAAATGCATGAAATGATCAGTTTTTATTTAACTGTAAATGCCACAAGGACGATTCAAACAATTTGCCTGATGTTGTCTGGCAGCTGTTGGGTATAGCCAATGCAAAAGATTTGTTTGTTTTCTTTGGTTGCTATGGAAAATATCAAGTTTATCTCGGGGTCATTTATTCAGAAACGGATTATTTTGCAAACTGGATTTTTTAAATTGTCCCGGTTTGGCTCATAACGAAAGCAGTTGAATGTTGTGCATCTCTGTGAGCGATGAAAGTAAACAATGCCAGCAATGCTCTTCACTGAGCAACTTCCACCGAGTGCTTGACATTGCTCCAGCTTGCCCAAGGAACTCAAACTCTGGGACAGAATTAGTTTCAGATTTTGTTTTTGAGCATTGATAGGATAAAGCGACAGGCAAAAACTGAATATAGATTCTCAAACTGCATATTAGTTTGGCGTGACCTGAATGGACTGAATATGAAGGTTAGATATTATATGATTCTTGTTGGGATCATTCTTTGTGCAGAGAGAGGCTACAGTTTGGCAGGAGTGAAGGATGCAATCTATCCAATGTTTATATATTAGTCATTCATGCATGTTGTTTATATCAACAATACTCTTATGAATCTAGCTATACAAACCGCAAATATGGGGAGAAGGTGGCTGAATTCACAGTCAGAAAAGATAGTTCGATCTTTCTTTCTATAGCAACCAAGGAAACCGACCCATCCTAACTTGAGCCTGCAATGTGCGTTTGCTTGGGGTTGGGTAGCTCACAGGGGCTTGATCTGGGTCAAGGACCCCCCCCATCCTCACAATCAAAATCAGTTTAATAATAATAATCCTTGCATTTGATATAGCGCTTTTCACGTCGGGAGGACATCCCAAAGCGCTTCACAGAACACACTGTAAAGTGAATTGACTGTATATTTGTGGGTGAACGCGGCAGCCAATTGCGCACAGCAATGTCCCACAAACAGTCGTAGATTGAAAATGACCCATTTATTATTGTTTGGGGTTTTTGGAGGGATTATTATTAGGCATGTGGAGTAAGGAAACTTGCCCAAGTTTGTCAATTCTTGGTGTTTACAACAAACTGGAATTTTGCTAATCCGGCCCACTTTCATGTATCAACTGATCCCCAGTATGACTCAGAATACATTTGTTCACAAATGCTGATTTTTCCTGAAATGACAGCTATTATAAACGTATAATATTCCAGCACATGTACAAGAAGAGCCCAGGTTAAAAAACATCTAGTTCTGCAGCAAACAAGTCAACAGGCTGCATTGAAAGCTTTGAAAGCTGACATTTCGCCCACAAAATGTAGTCAATTCACTTTACTGTATATGCTGTGAAGCACTTTGAGACGTCTCGAAGACGTGATAAAGCGCTATATCAAATACAAGGATTATTATTATTTCATTTATTCCCGTAAATGAAAATATTCAGTCATCCACTGCTACGTTGATTTTAGTCGACTATAATTACCCTTTACTATATGCAACAGTACTAAGAGAATTTTTAAATTAATTTTAATATTATGTAACCAGTTTGTAACTTGTGTCAATTTGGTTCAGTTAGTACCACTCTTGCCTCTCTGGGTCCGAGGTTGTGGCTTGAAGCCTCCTATTGAGACTGCAGGCTGACGTCCAGGTTGATTCAGCAGTGCAGTGAGGGAGTACTGTTTTAGTTGTACTTCGTATGAGACATTAAACCAAGGTCCTGTCAGATGGATGTTAAAGATCATACAAGATTGTCGGAAAAGAGTGTGTCTCAGTGTATTGGCCAACAATCCTTCAGATAAATTGACCAAGTTTGTTTGTGGAACTTGCTGAGTGCAAAATTGGCTGCTACATTTGCTTACGACTACACAGTCACTAACTACACTCAACAGCAATTACCTATTTAAGCCATATTGGCCTGGATCACATGCAACAATTTGTATTTGTTAGGTAATCAAGCCAGAAGAAACGGTACGGAAAAATGTATGTTTTATCAAGATGGTTATAGTTCAATAAACATTGCATTTGTTAAATAGCAAACATTCTCGATGACTGGGACAAAGTGTAGCATGGTCCAGAAACTAGATTTTATAAGAACAAATAAAAAAAATTGGAGCCTTATTTTCAAAAGTCCAATATTACAGTTTGGATATACTGCAATTACCTTCAGTATTTTTTTCGGTTTGACAGAATCTTTTATTTTGTTCCTTAGACTGCAGGACTAGAGGGCAGTTCAATGCTCTGTCACAACACTTCCGTGGTAAAAGATCAGCCAAGTACAGCTTCCAAGAGGAAACCCCGATAAGAAAGGGGAAACGCATGACGCTCTCCGAGTTTCTCTCTGACAGGTGAAAACTGCTTTGTGTAACTTATTCGCTTCTGTAAATTGTGTATTTAAGCAGAAGCTGGGAATAAAATACAAAGTTTTTTCAATTCCAAATATTTGTTCCAGTTATCAAAACTATTACAGTGAGCCTTTTTTTGTTAAAAAGCCTCAATGTTGATATTATGCTATTTCTAATTTATAATTCTGGGTTCAAATTCAAGCCGATTATTCAATCATGCAACTTTCAGAGTGACGCTAAACATGCTGTCTCTGAATTGTATGATACAGATTCACTCTGGTTATTTCCCTCAATAATTCTCTGGTCTCACCCAGTCCTTCGAAGAATATAAAGTCGGAAACAAGTGGCCCATGAGGCTTGATCCTTGCACAGATTGTTGACTGACTCCATTTGATTCTTGAAGAAATGCTCTGGGTAAATATTCCCAAAGCATCATTGAGCCAAATCTTTAGAATATTCAGGAATATTAGGAAAATAATTCCTTCCAATATCTCCTCTCACTTGATGCTTTAATTGTATTGGCATTTTTCTGGCCTCACTTCTCTTAAGTCAAATAATTACATCTATGTCCGTCATTATCTCAAACGTGGTCCTTTTTAATATATGCAGAACATTACCCTATCCGTATGACCAGTATAATTTGCTGAATGAATGTCATTCACATCCCACTCCTTTAGCTCACTTATAGATGTAATGAGAAATGTAGTTGAAAATTCCTGAGAAATGCAATTAATGCCAATGTGATTTAACATTTCTTTGCAGCACTCTGAAGGATGAAATTAAGACTGACAATGCCACCTTATCATTGAAATCATTGAAACCTGTCTCAGAAAAGAAGGATGCCAACATGGGTGACTTCCAGGATTTTGTGGCAGAAATGCAGAAAACTATTGCTGGTCTTCAAAATCAGGTGCAGATACATTAATCACAAAATCCAATTCTTTCATCTAAAGTTCTCTCTCATTGTACTGGTCACCATTATAGTCGAGATATCGTCTTAAAGGATTGCCTCAAGTGTCTAATGAAGCATTGGCTTGAATGGAGCCTTGGGTTGAGCTGGCTCCAAAGTAACGTGCTTGATAATGAATTGTTGGAATCGAGATATGGCCCACAATGATCCTTTCTGGTCTGGTATATTCCTATGGTCCTAAATTTGGAGGGTTATGGTGATTTCCATGGTCTGCTGTGTGAATGGGGTCAATGGGCCAAGTTTCATTTCATGGCTCTTTATTGGTGCCTCGGCTCCTCAATCCCAGCTTTAGTGCCTTGTGAACTGTCAGCAGCAAGTTATGAGGCTGACTTCACTGAATCCTGCTCTTAGGCAAAGCATAGGTCAGCACTTGCATGCTCATACATGAATAATGGTATCTGAATGTAAGTGGAATTTTTAATGTTAGTTGATTGTTAGCTGATTGTTCTGTATTGCCCAAAATCTTTTTAACCTTCAAATATAAAAGGTTTGAAACTATGTCTTGTGTATGGCTTCCTGCCTCTAGTCCTGTGGTAAGTGGTGACATTTCTGTGCTTCTTATCGTGATGTTTAAATGATTTAATTGAATAATAATGCTAGTGTTTGATATAGTGCCTATTACATTGAAATGTCTCAAAACCATTTTCCAGGTAATGGCTGTCACTCTAGTGATTATGGATTTATGTAGGCCAATTTGGAGATAAGAAGATCCCACAAATAGCATAAAGTGAATGAGCACTGTTTTTGGAGGATTGTTGGCCAAGATACCAGTAGAATCTCCCTCGACTTTTCAAATAGTGACATGGGATTTTTAACTTGAAACTGAGCATGGAGACAGGACTTCGGATTAACATCTCATCCAATGATGGCACCTCATTTGACATTATAGCACTCTTCAAGATTGCTTTGGAGTATCAAAATACACAGTCAATTCACTTTACAGTATATTCAGTGAAGCGCTTTGAGACGTCTAAAAGACGTGATAAGACACTATATCAAATGCAAGGATCATTATTATCAGCCTAGATTGAGCTCAAAATTCCAATTGAACCTGTTGCCTTCTGACCCAGAGGTGAGAGACAAATTGACATCTGAATTTAATCTTTCCCACAGATTAAGGAACTTGAAGGGCGTCTCAGTAAATCTGGCTGCACTGATGAAAGAGGAAGTGAGCGTTCCAACAATGAAGAGTGGAGGAAGGACACCTGCACACTGTGCAAATGCAAGGTAATGATATTTGATGGCAGACAAAGTGGTTTCAAACCACTGGGATTTGTGATGTAGACCATTCAATTACAACACTCCCAAGTCTGAATACTTTCAATTCTCATGTGACAAAAAATTGCACAGGATTATACAGCTGTCAGGCTGTCATAAAAGAATGTTGTGCAAACTGTTCTTAATTTGCCTGAGGTTGTGCAGTTTCTTTGCTAATTCATTCAGTTTGTTTGGTGTTTTTTTGAGTCTAGAAAAGGAATAACAGCTGACCTAATGTTTTCTGTCTGGATCAGTGCCATTGGTATGTTATAGACAATATGTCTCTTGTTGATCTGTATTAGTCATGTTTTTAATGTTTTTTTAGAAAAGAACATGTGCAGAATATGTCCTTTTACTTAATAGTCAGCCTCCTGAGAAACCTCTGTATTGCATTTAAATCCAGTTCCCGGGCACTAATCCAGACAAAACCCCTGCAATTCTGGTAAAACTCTGTGTCAGATACTGTGCCCCTTTGCTGCTTTACATCCTTGCCACCCCTAATCCAGACCTTGTTCAATCTGGATCCTTTGGGGTTAGTCATGGCATCTTGCGTCGAGATTAACCAGAGTTTACAAACTACAGTAAGAAAGCAGATAATTAATACAAGGTTGAGTTGAGCAATACTTGAAAATGTATTACTAATTCCTTAACTAATACTACCCTTAAGCACTTGCCTGTTCACACAAAATCATAAGATTGGTCTGGATGAAGAAGGCCCTTCATTGTGACCAATAACCCCAATTGAAAGTCTTAATATGGACTTGAAACCATTTTCTCAACCTGCAACAGGAAACTGATCAAATAAAGTCACTTTTCTGGAGTCTCTTACTTTTAAAAGTGCCTTGGAACATCCTCCCAACATGAAAGGCACAATACAAATGTGGTGGTGGTGTTTAACCGACAAGATGGCAATCCAGGAATTGGAGCTCTGGAGTAGTGCATTGAATGAGTGCTTAACCCTGGGGTATTAATTAAAAATAGAAGCAATGCACAAGTATTCCTTAATCTATTCCTGTCAAATAAGAGATGGATTTAGGATTACATCAAGTTTTACCCAATTGGTTTAAACAACAGGTGACCTTGCCGGGAGCTGCTGCTTTGTGTTGGGTTGGGATGCAATGCACAGAGTTGTATTCATTTGATGCAAACAACAAAAAAAAGAATACTTTTCACTTTCTGCTTTCAGGAAGGACATCTTACCTGCTTTGTTGAAACGTGTCCACCAGCTACTTGTGCTGATCCTGTCAAGGTGGCAGGAGCTTGCTGTCGAGTCTGTATGAAGCAAACTTTGGAAACTGACGAGCAGTCCTAAACCTTCACTGAAGAGCCAGAGGGGTGGGTTGTCCCTTTTATTCTACAATGAGCTGTGATGCCTGGATGTCACTAACTCTAGTACATTTTCAAAACTACTCGTGGGTGTTCATGCAAAGATGACATCGGTCTTTGAAGAAATCACAAGAGATATTTTTTCAAAAAAAGCCCCGTAATCATGCTCTATGCTCCAAAAATGTGGGAAGATCAAACCTGTAATTAAACATTATGCGTGCATGTACCGTCAAAGAGAACCACAATGCAAAAGTATTGAAAGGGAAATAGTTTGTTGTGTATGACAGTGTGATTTTGTCTGCCATGTTTTTCTGGTAAGCTTCTCAGGTTAGAAATGCCAAAAAAAAGTGGTGCTACATGTATTTTCTTGTATATGACATTATAGTGACTAGTAGGAGGTAACATACCATAACATTTTTAAGTTACTTTTTATTTGCTCAAAAGCAAAATTATCTCAAGTACTGACGCTCCTGAAAATCAGCATATGCTTTTTTTCTCTCTTCCACACACACACACATCCTCCCTTCCTTTAACTTACTTTTTCAAAGAGTGTGAGAAAATATTTCAGGAAAAGGAAAAACAATCTAAATAAATGTTTCACCTTCTTCACGCTCAGTCATAGAGCCCCAGATGTTTTCTGTGCTGTATCTGGTGTCAGTCTTTCACCCTTACAAGGTGTTGAGACTTGTACGCTGTTCTTTCAGCTACTGTGGCTCTGCTTGGAAATAATGTGAAGAGATTGCTTGTACTTGTTTGAACAGTTGACTTTCAGATGCCTACTAATTGCATTTCAGTGTACATACTGCATTGAAAAAGTGCCCTGTGTTGCTTTACTAACTTGTGGCAGTAATTGTTGGGAGTTCTCACAAGTTGGGTGGATTTTATCATTCCACATTAGGACGTTTGAATTGAATCTTTTCCTCACTTGTGGCCTGGTTACTGAATTTTCAGCTTTAACCATTGCATTTTATTGGGTTTATGGCATTTTGCACTTCTTAATTATCGTATTACATTTTTTTAAAAATGTGCTAGTAATTTTTTTTACAACATAGCAATTTGTATGCAGACTAAAGACATTTGAAGAGGTCTGTGAAACGGGGTTTTATCGCTCCATGATTATCCATTGAATGGTCGTGCAAACCAGTGAAACAGTATTAAATGCCATCTATCACTTCCAAATGTCGTTGCATTATTTTTTTGAGAAGTTTATTTATTTCCTCAATTAGTCAGAGGCTAATTGAGCACTTTTGACCATCGATGAAGGACATCTGATAATTTTTCAACATTTTTAATTAAAAAAAGCTCATACCTCAATCTTTCATTCACGGTGCTATCTGATTTTACGGCAAACAATCTCTTGTGTTACTTTGAGAAAGTAACCATATTTGTAATATGCCAATCTGTATTTTAGGTTTGTTAATGAACCCCTGTTAATTTATATTTTTTTATATATATCAGGAAATGGGTTGGGGTGGGGAACAGGCAAAATATCAGTGCATCTCAGCAGCAATCAATCCTCACTTGTGTAAATCTAGCAGGTACTAGCTATGTACAAGGGATGTTACATTTCAAGGCTTCCCATTGTTAAGATGTCCGTGATTTTTCTCCCTCCCCCCCTCCCTCCCCCAGTGGTTCTTGGATACAAAGGAGCAACATCATTTGAAACATATTTAAATATCTCCTCAGCTTTTTTAAAAAAATGTTTTAAAAAAAATCATTTAAGGTTTTTTCCCCTGCGTCTGCGTATTTTTGTTTTGTTCATTGTAGCATGCAGACTGTGATGTTAATGAATGAATTGTGATGTGTTCTGCTGAGACAATATGAAGCATATCTGCTGCTTTCTATTTGTTTATTTTTTACTATTTCTCCATGTAACAGCAGTGCTGATAGTTTTTTTTGTACTGACCATTGTCTCTTTGAATTTGATCACATCGTTCTGAGGCTGGCAGTCTGAAAGCCATATTTGCTTTAATGAGACAGAATGCTCTTTATATTACATACAACAATAAATTTACCAAAGAGATGTTTGATGTTTGCACTGTGTAATACATTTGTATGGACAAAATTAAATAGACCACATTATCTTAAACCTGTTGTCATTTTATTAATCTTGCTCTGTTTTGTTTAATGTATAATAGTTTGTTTATAGCTGCTAAAGGGAACGGTGAGTGGTAAGATATGTCAGCATGATTCAATGACAGAAAGGAGATGTAGCCCCGAGGAAGAGTTGGGTGGTCGGGTTCCCCCATGTTTTAAATAGACCGACATTTGCAAGTCTTATTCTATCCTGCAATCCTTCCACCTCACCCCCTCCTCTTACCTCTTTCAAGTCCCGTCTAAAGACCTTTCTCTTGACCTTGCCTTTGGCCCCCCCACCTCCCTGCCCTCCACCCCTCCTGACCCCAATTTCCAGCTCAGGTCCAAAAAACCCTCCTAGAAAATAATATCTCAGGATACAGTATATAGATCGAGACACGACATGTCAAGTGACTGCCAGGGTGGTGGAAGGCAAACTAGATGGACCTTGTTCTTCTTTTGCCTAGCAAATCCTGAGGTTCTTATGAACCTACCTAATCTTGGAGAGCACTAGGTGCAGATTAGCAATAGCCAAGGTTTGTGGACCTCAGACTGTGCATTCGGATACTGCTAGAGTTTAACCTGCTAAACCTGCATAACTTGCGATTGATGGTAGTTTCTGACCAGCTTCCTGCTGATTTCCAACAGTGATTCTTTAGGGTTTGGGTTCACAGAAGCAGATTGTGAAGAATCCCTGTTCACAGTCTGCTCCTCCAAATTCTTTTGTCTAGTTCTGCCGACATTGCTCCAGCTGACCAAAAACAAGTGGGAAGTGCAATAAAGCCTTGTAATTGATATAGAGCTTTATCACATTTTTTAATTGTATCAATGCATTTCACAGAATTTTTGTTAGTGTAGTGGCTATATATTTCCTAGGTAGCCAATTTTTACACAGCAATGAAGTGAATGACTAATTTTATCTGGAGGATTGTTGACAAGGAGAAACCAGATCAGGAGAAAAGCAATGAGGTAAAACAACGAATGTGCTACAAAGCAATAGGAATGTAGTGGAATTGTAACATCACTAAAAAATGCTAATGCTTCTTCATTTATTAATCTTCATAAAAATCGATCCAGAAAAATATTTTTTGGAAACTCATCTTTCTAAAAGAATGTTGGCACCTTGGTGAGCACCTGAGGGATGGAGACTATAGCATCAGTAAACTGAGGAAAATTACTTGGTGTAGCTATGCTGTGTGGAAATTTGAGTGGAGATTGGTTTGTTTATTGCTGAATATCTTGTGCACATTCAAACAATTTTTGTGATGGGTATTGTGATGACCCATTTTGTAGGGTGTTAATAATGCTGTTTGGAGTCTCCGCAAGGGTTAATTTTTCAGACTTTGGCAAAACATTATTATGTCATTTCTGATTTTAAAACGTTATTAAAATTAAAGAAATTTTGAATTTAGCATCCTTATACGCACTGAATTCTGAAAGGTTTAGATCAAATGAGTCAAAGGACCTTCTTCATCAGAACCTTTTTGTAATCTTTTCTAAAGGGAAAAAGTGAAAGCACTTTGAATACCACTCAATGAAGAAAATATAATTTCAAAGCCACTTACTAAATAAAATAAACCTGAATATAAACACAGAAGTCGCTGGGACCACACAGAAGATCAGTCAGCATGCATCCATGGAGAATGGAAAATGAGTTAATGTTTCAGGTCTATGACCTTTTGTCAGAACTGGGGGATGTTGGAAGGGAGCAGGTTACAAGGACAAGCAGAGAAGGGGCGGGGAAGCAGAATAAACCTTTACTTGTTTTTGGTCAACCCTGTATCATACACACCGAAGTCTGCCACTATGTGTAAGCGTACAGTTAAACCTTTCTTCATCAACCACTCGGGACAATGGGCCAAAGTGACCTTTATATAAGGGTGGCCTCTGAGTAAGGGTTCATATGTGTAAACCAGGCTATTCCAAAATCATTGTTTACGGGTGGTTGCTTAATGGAGGTGGTTGCTTGAACAGGTTTGCATTCCGAACCAAACTGGATACACCCTTCTTTCCTAATCAGTGCAGGTCAGTAAGAGCTAACGTGAACTTAGAGTGCGCATTGGGATATTGCTACAGTTTAATCAGCTAAAACTGCAGCTTGCCATTGCAAACACTGACTGCCAAGCAGAGGAAAGCTTGCCTCAATCTTGAAGTCATTTTGGATGCTCGTCAATGCATCAATGTACTTTTGCATGTGGAATGTTGAAAATTGCACATGTTAATCTGATTCTTGTCTTGTACATGACAAGGACTAAAACAAATGTCAGGACTAAAACAAATGGCCTCAAGTTATAACCTTGGGAGTTGCTTGAGTCAGTAACCGTTTTAATGGCATCAAAAGGAATTACATTTGCATTGAAGAGTAATGCGAAACCCAATTATTTTACAGCTGGAAAGGAGGCCATTCAGCCCATCGTGCCTATGCCAGCTTTCTGAAATTTTAGAGCCATCAATTCAATCTGCCATCCCAGTTATTTTCCTTTGATAATGCAACCTTATAAATTATAATTTTGTAAAGCAACTCATTGATATGGGAATGTATAACTGGGTGATTTTATTTGTAAGGCAAATGATTTTCAGAACACAATCCATAAGATATCTAAATGAAGTCATATATTTTTAAAGCATTGACCCATTACTAGTACAATTGACTCCTTCAATGCTTTCCTATTTGTTACCACTGTTCGACTATGACTTTCTTAGCACAACCAAATGGGGTCAAATCAACATTGTTTTGTTTTCCACAGAGATGAAGGAATTTTAACTTTGATCGGAATAATACTTGACTTTAAAGTTTGAGGTTCAAATTCCACTCAAGCGAGGGTGGTTTCTTGGAACCTGAGAGTTAAAAATTATACTAAAAATAAGTGTAGATGGCATATTCATCACTGCCTTTGATAGAAGTACACATTGTTCATCATTGTTTTGCCAAAATGCCAATTCTTACGCCAAAAATGCAAACTGGGGAATTAGAACGCAAACATTGGTCCAAAGGCTAACTTCAAAGAAAAATGTTCTGAGCTCCATCGCCTTAATTCTAAGACAATAGATGTCACTTCAAAAGGTTTGCTAAAATGGGTGAACGTACTTGGTGTCTCAATTTAAGACCGATCTGATTGGCTGGGTTTAGCTAAGTACAACTGGGGCACATGGTGGGCTACAGTTGGCCTCAGATTACCAGGCTAAAGAGGAGAAAAAAACACTAGAGTATTTTCATATATATTCATAACATAACATGAAGGAGCAGGAGTAGACCATTTGGCCCTTCGAGCCTGCCCCGCCATTTAATCATGGCTGATCTTCTAATCTAACTCCAGCTAATAACCTGACCCTGCATTATCCCCATATCCCTTAATCCCTTTTGCAATAAGAAATCTATCTATCTCAGTCTTGAATATGTTCAAGGACTGAGCGTCAACAGCCCTTTGGGGTAGTGAGTTCTATACATTCACCACCCTTTGAGTGAAGAAGTTCTTCCTCAACTCAGTGCGAAAGGGCTGGCCTCTGATTTTAAGGTTGTGACTTCTGGTTTTAGTTTCTCCAACCAGGGGAAACCATCTCCCACTATCTACTCTATCATGCCCTTTGATGATCTTATAGGTTTCTATAAGATCCCCTCTAATTCTTCTATATTCTAAAGAATATAGGCCCAAATTGGTCAGCCTATCCTCGTAACTCAACTTCATCCCTGGTACTAACCTAATAAATCTACGCTGCACTCCCTCCAAGGCAAGTACATCCTTCCTTAAATGAGGAGACCAAAAATGGACACAGTATTCCAGGTGTGGTCTCACCAGGGCCCTATACAGTTGCAGCAAGACTTCCCTACTCTTATACTCTAATCCTTTCATAATAAATACTAACATACCATTCCCCTTCCTAATTGCTGCTGCACCTGCAGACTAACTATCTGTGATTGGTGTACAAGGACAACCCAGTCCCTCTGGACGCTAACACATTCCAATCTATCCCCTTCTAAAAAATAATCCGCTCTACTGTTTTTGCTACCTAGGTGGATAAGTTTGCACTTCCCCACATTATACTTCATCTGCCACCTACCTGCCCAATCATCTAACCTATCTATGTCTCGCTGCATTTTTTTAATGTCGTCCTCTGTGTTGATACTTCCTCCTAGTTTTGTGTCATCTACAAATTTAGATATATTAACTTCGATGTCCTCATCTAGATCGTTGATGTAAATGGTAAATAGCTGAGGCGCAAGGACTGATTCTTGTGGCACTCCACTAGTCACATCCTACCGTTTGAAAAGGACCTGTTTATCCCTACTCTTTGTTTCCTACCCATTAACCATTCCCCAATCCACATTAATATGCTCCCCACAATTCCATGGGCCCTTTTGGACTAACCTTTTATGCGGCACCTTATTGAATGCCTTCTGGAAGTCCAAATAGACCACATCCACTGATTCACCTTATCTAGTTTACTGGAAATATCCTCAAAAAACTCTTGTGAGATTTGTCAAACATGACTTCCCTTTTGTAAAGCCATGTTGACTTGGCCTAATTATATTGTGCTCCCCTAAAGACCGCACGAACACATCTTTAATCAATGATTCTAAAAATTTTCCTATCACTGATGTGAGACTAACTGGCCTATAGTTTCCCATCTTTTCCTTTCCACCTTTTTTAAATAGTGGTGTGACATTTGCGATCTTCCAATCCATGGGGACTATTCCAGAATCCAAGGAATTTTGGAAGATCAGACACAAGGCCTCCACTATCTCATAAGCTCCCTCTTTTAAAACCCTGGGATGCAAGCCATCCCGACCAGGGGATTTGTCACTTTTTAGTGCTAACAGTTTCCCTCGCACCAATTCTCTACTCATAAAAATGTCCCTAAGTTGCTCCCTGTCCTTATCCCCTTGGTGCATCCCTATTGTTGGCAGACTTGTTGTGTCTTCTAGGGTGAAGACAGATGCCAAGTACCCATTTAGGGATTCTGCCATGTCCTTGTCCCCCATTACAACCTCTCCCGTCTCTGACTGAAGTGGAC